GGTGCCATGAACAATAATCTCCTAACGCAACTGTTTCGCACGCTTTCTCAAAGAGAAGCATTTTCTACACAGGGTATAAAGACAGGAGCAAGACCCTTACCAGCCCCTAAATCGCTTCCCTGCGGTGCTTGCGGGGTGACCTGGGTGCGCCTGGGGAGGTGCTAGGGAGATGCGAGTGAGCAGCACTGCACGGTCATGAACCAGTGAAGCCCATGCACAGCCAGGGTTTCCGTACGATGTTGATATCTGGAGAATGTGACCATCTCCCTATCCTAGAATTCTTTAATTCGTACCTTCCTATTCTATAATTGACAAATACTCAGAGGAGGAAATTACATAGAATATTTTTCACCAAAGACTCTACCTAAAGTTGCCTGGGGTTTGCCCTTGGAGGAGGCCAGGCTGCAGTGTAAACCTGTAACCTTCAAAACCATCAGAAGGCCACTATCCAGCACGTTGGCCACCGGGTTCCCCAGAGGCGACCCTCCTGTGGCACATGCACGGAGCTCTGTCATCACCCAGAGACATACCCATTAGCTGGTGCCACTTGCTACTTGCTGGTCTGGAGCCTGCAAGCACAGCCCCACAGGGGTGGTGGTTGAAGGGAAAGAAATACCCTCAGCTCTCAGGTGAGCACAAGCACGTTGGGGACGGCCGCTGTGGGGCTGGCAGGCCCCAAAGCAGAAAGTGCTGCGCCACACAGAGCCTGCAGCCAGTCTGCCTCCTACCTCTGCCCCTGCTGCTCTGCCTCTTTCTGTGAAATGATCATTGGAGAACCTACCATATGAAGTGGTTCTGAAGATTAAAAAGCAAATGTATATAAAGCACTTAGAACAATGCCTGGCATACTCTAAGCATTACTTGTGTTTCAGCTTATGCTATTACCTCTATTCTGTCATGTTCACACAAAGGTTTGACTACACTGTCAGCAACATTAAAGAGATATGCTCTTTTCTCAAGTATTAGTATTTGTAAATCAAGGCAGGAAAGAACAGTTTGAAGACTGGGGCAGTTGTTAAGTAATCGAGGCAGCCTGCTTCAAGCAGAAGCTCTAGAAATAATTTTGTGTATAATCTTATTGTCAGCTTAGTATAAAGCTGGGTAGCATGTAAAATGACCCCAAACGTTTTGTTGTTCTCAACCCTGTGTTGATTAAGTCCCTATCCTTGTAACTCATTCCAGGACATATACCAAATAAAACTGGAAAAAGTCACCAGGTTTGAAGATTCTTTTAAATCTCAAATTTTAAAAAAACTGGACAGAGAATAATTATTCAGATTGGAGTTCTAGATTGTTAGTGGATGGGGAGAGTGAACAGACAGCACGTCCCAATCATAAACTCTTTATGCAACCAGACTTACAGCTTCCGCATTAGCAAAGCTGACAAGAAAGAAAACAGAGACAAGTTATTTGAGCTTGCAGGATCTCTGGAGTCTCATCAAACCTTCCCATTGGACAAATGAGGGAACTGAGATGCAGAAGGCTGAGTGATGAACGTGACAGTGATAACCAGGACAAGGCTGTGGTCTCCCAGCATAGCTCACTTCTTTCAGTCTCTTCTTTTCTCCCCTTCTCCTCACTATAGAGGCCTGAACATGGCAGTGACCATCACCAATGGGATTCCAGCTGGGATGGTTCTTCATTGAACTCTTTCCGTATGTCAGGCATTCTAGAGACCCTGCCCAGAAGTTCCCAAGGAGCCAGATCATCCATCTTCTGACATTCTCAGAGGTCGAAGTCAAGGCTGGAATATCCTTCTCCACTTCTCTAAGACCTCACACTTCCACATGTAGCTAAAGAGCCACCTTTTCTGGGGAATACTCCCGGACCCCTCCATCTGACTCCTTCCCCAGCACTTCACCCACTCACCTACACGCAGGAGTCACTTAATTGTTTGCTCTTTTGTTTGATGGTTAGTATATTAGCTTATTTCTGGGCTCCTACCATTAGAGGGTAAGCTCTGTGAGGAAAGTGACTTTCTTTTTCACCATCATTTCCTTACTGCCTAGAACAGTGCCTGGCACATCGTAGGTTTAATAGATTTTGTAGGGAGCATAAATGAATTCTGCTGTGCAGTGGTGGCACCTGAATTTCAACATAGATAGCAGGCAAGAATGGCAATGTACTTGGGCAGAAAGGGATAAAGAGACTTTATATATATACATATATATATATGTATATATATAAATATATATGTATACATATAAATTGGCTTTTACTAAAAATTATAGATTTACTATAAATGGGGACAGTGATAAAGATTTGGGGGCACTTAAAGTACTCTCTAGCACCTCTTGCCCCACCCCCCAGTTGTCTTGGCGAGGTTGTTCACATGTCTGGCTTCCTTGCTTGATCGTAAACTCCTGGAAAGCAGGTCTTACTCATCCCTGCATGCTCCCAGCCTCTATGAGGGCCTCACTAGAGGCAGAAGAAATGATTAAATGACTGAATGCATGAATAAATGAATGAATGGTGACACCTCTCCTAAGACTGGCCTGTCTGCTTTGGTCAACTGATGTCAGGAGCCAAAAGAAATGTTCAGTTCAGTTTAAAACCAAGAATAACGCTTTGGGGTCAGGGAGGGAGGGCAAGCCAAGATGTAAGAATGAGACTTGGGAGGCTCCATGGCAGCATGAGAAGCCAGAAAACAAAACCGGAAAGAGATAAGGCCACCCTGATGGATGCTTTCCATATAAAGGAGGTTCAAGTACACAGTGGATGAACTTTTGAATTTCCTGTTTTTAAAACTTTCTTGTGATGAAGCTGAAACTGCACATTGTCCCTGTCAGCAGAGTGGTTTGCGCTTGTCTGGAATAATCAGGCACATGTGGTCTAGTCCATGTGCATAAATAAGTACAATGGAAACATGGGAGCCAGAAACCAGAGTCAGCAGTCTGGGGTGGCCGGAGTCCTGGGTTCTGGTGTTGCTGGTTCCGTTGGGAGTATGGGTGAGTTCACTCCACCTCCATGTCTAAGGGCCCGAGCTATGAAACAGGGAGGCCACACCATGTCATCTCTAAAGCCCCTCCCATCCCTGAAATGCTATGACCTAGTCAGAGGGAGAGCTTTAGTATAAAAGCAATTTTCCACAGTGAAAAGGTATTAGTTAATATGTATATGAACTAAAATAGTTTAAAATATATATGTATATAATTTACTAGTATATTTTTATTATTTGAACATACTTGTTTCCCAATGACTAGCAAAAATGTCATAATTGTGATAAATGGCAGTTATTCATAAATAAGAATCTGCTCATTAAAAAATTTAAAAAGCAGAATGCTCCTTAATCCTAGTGCTAAATCACAATATTTTGAACGGTGCTCACAGTTTCTTATGTGAATACTTAAGTAACATATGCTGCAGAAACAGGCATGTTCTTTTCTCTTAGGTATCATAAAGGATCCGATTATGTGCTTTGTTACAGAAAATTAACCTTTCTGCATCTCGGTTTCCTCATCTATAAAATCTGAAGGGGTGGTGAATTTGAGTTTGTCTATGTCCAAGACGAAAAAGGTTATGTGCTGTAATCTCACGCACTCATTTTGCTCTTCATCCAGGGCTAACCGGCAGAATAGCTGAATCTACTGATAATCTTATAGGTGACCCTTCCTGAGATACAGCAGTCCCTCCTTATCTGTAGTTTCGCTTTCTGCAATTTCAGCTACCCGCAGTCTGAAACATTAAATGGAAAATTCCCAAAATAAACAATTCGTAAGTTTTAAATTACGTGTTAGTCTGAGTAGCGTGATGAAATCCAGCGCCATCCTGCTCCATCCCATGTGGGATGTAAATTGTCCCTTTGTCCAGCGTCTCCATGCTGTCGATGCTCTCCACCCACTAGTCACTTAGTAGCCATCAGACTGACTGTCACGGTATCACAGTGCTTATGTTCAAGTAAACTTTATTTTAATTAATAATACCACATTCACATAGCTTGTACTATAGTATATTATTATAATTATTCTATTTTATTATCAGTTATTGTTGTTAATCTCTTACTGTGCCTGATTTGTAAGTTAAATTTTATCACAAGTATGTATGTATAGGAAAAAATATAGTAAATATAGAGTTCAGTACTATCTACAGTTTCAGGCATTCACTGGGGGTCTTGGAACATATTCACCTACAGATAAAGGGGAACAACTGTAAATAGTGAATCAGAACCAGGGGCCACACTGCCCGCATTTCCCCACAGGGCAATGGTCATGTGTGAATGGTGTGTGGTTGTCACAACAACCAGAGGGCGATGCCAGCATTTTGTTGGCCAGAGCCAATGCCCACAATGCTCCCAGCATCCTACACAGTGAACTGTCCTATCCTACATACCAGCAGCTCCTCGACAACAAACACTAGATGCAGTGAACAGGTAAGGGGCGTGAGAGCAAGACTCAGAGGAGGAAATGAGCAGAGTTCCAGGATGGGGAATGAGGAGGAGAGGCTTTGCAAGGTCAGAGCTTCATTCACCTACCTTTTTTCAGAGCAAAAGGAGGTTGATCTAGAGAGGTGATCATTCCTCTAGATTGTTGCAAATCACGTAAGTCTGTTCCTGGTACCACTCTGCTTTGATATTTGCTCCAGCTTGCTCGTCGGTTTCCAGCCCCAAGCCCAAGATACAAGGAGATAGGACAGCCACATGGTTTGTCTAATTCCTTTCCTGACCTACCTTTCTCCAAAAGTTGACACGGCCCTGTGGAATGGGGTGGGCCCCGTATTGTTCTTGCTTTCCAGTATTGGAAGAGGTGACAAAATGTTCATTTAGAAACAGCAGGCAATATAGTGAGGGCACACATATGCACACATGCATGCACACACAAAATAACAAGGAAGCTTTCTGGTTGAAAAGAAAGTGGAACTTTTTTTTCTTTCAAATTTACACATACTGAATTTGTAATTTCAAAGTGAGGCAAGTTATTTGAAATGGAAAGGGTAGCACATTATGCACATGGTATCACAACTTTTCACCCAGAGAACTACAAAGCAAGCATGCATATACATACCCAATGTGGGCACTGTCTCGATACGGCAGCACTGAAAATATACTACAGAAGGATCTTCTGCCACTGATAAGGACTATTCTAAAAAATGGGAAAAAAAAGAACAAACAAACCAACTAAATGCAGACTCTTAAATTAAAAAAAAAAAAAAAACTCTAGCAATTAAGCATTCATGGAATTCACAGCAGTATTTGCACACTCCCGCCACCTCCTCTGACAGATGGTGTTCTGTGCTCCTTGCAAAATGCAACCTCAGCACAGCAGCAGTAGGCTGCCTCTTCTTATCTAAATGTTAACATGTGAGACACTGGCGAGGGTCTCTAGAGAGTATACACGAATCCTTCCTCCAGTGAGAATTGCTGGCTGTGGGCTGCACATGCAAGATGGAGAGAAAGTTATGAGTTTGGAGGTGCCCAGTGCTGGGCCAATGGTCATGCTACATTTAAATCGATTTCTATTCTGCAGTATACAATGCAAGAGCGATTGTGCCAGAAACCGTGAGCAGGAAAGACACTCGGATGCCATTATGATCATTAGGTTTTTTTTCTTTTAATATGCTGGCAGCACGTTAGGTTCCGAGAATAAATTAAGGGAACAATTACATAATCAGTCTTAGCCTCCATTCCTGCCATAAAGATACTACTGGAAACAGTTCTACATGATGTTCTTATGCAATCAAAGGCCACTTAAAAAAACATTTTAAAAAAACTCTCAAAAATACTTATCCTGGCATTTGAGAATAACATTTGCGAAAGAGAACTGCTGATGAAAAAATGGAGAAATGAGTGAAGGAGATTACAAGAACACTCTTTAACGCAATGACAACACACATCGGATATGGAACTTATTGACTTTTGTAAGTAATTGTAATAATAAAACCAGGGAAAAAGCTGTACTACAAACTGCATCAAGGTTTGGGGATTCTGACCTTGTTTTAAAGCTATGATATTAAATTGCCTACTTTCTCAGGATAAAGTCGGGTTCCCTTGGATGCAAACTGTCTTAGCTCTGTCTAGGGCCCTCTGTCTTCTAGCTCTTTCTGCCTCTTTGTCTCCACACACACGGTATTTCTTCCTGCGCCTTATTATTCATCATCTTAAAGGACTTGCTGCACCCCCATCTTAAAAACCACTACTGTTCCACACCTCTATCCTTTGCATGCTATTTCTTCTGCCTGCTATGCCCTCTACATGGTACACTTAGTGAACTTCTATTTATCTTCAAAACCTAGCTCAGAGGTCACCCCCTTAGGAAGCATTTCCTCTCCTTTCACTGAGTTGCTCATTCTCTTTTTGGTGCTGCTTCCGTTCCTTATTTCCACTTCTGGGAGTGCACTGATCACAAGTGCTGCTAATCATTTGCCACGCTCCTCTTCTGGACAGTGAGTCCAAGGGTTCAGCGCACGGCAGCCCCTCCATAAACGCGTCTGGGTGACACCGTGCTTCAGAGCAGCACCCAAGCACCCGGCACTGGTAGGACAGGACTGCGGCTATTGTATTCCACTGGGGTTCACGTCTACAGTGGCTGGCAGGACCAAAGCAATATTTCCCGCATCGAATGCCAGCGTGGTCACCTTTGTATGACTTCAGGCAGCATACTAACTCTTCTGAACCTCAGAAGAGTTAAAAAATAGGATGAAATTAGTAACAATCTTATTGAAATGTAAAGAGTAAATAAGTCCATATGGTAGAGATAGTAAATAATATTAACTGCCTAGCAAATAATACACACTCAATAAATATTGTTTTTACTAGGGACCACCTTCTTGGGTTGGGGTAAGTTTTATTAGCCTAGTATTTAGATTGAGAACCTCTTCGGAACTCTGTGCTAAAATACACAGGCCTGCTCAGACATGAAAGGCCATGCTCTAAAGACAGCTGAAGGTTGACACACATGGCCTGTCTACAAAGATGTAGAACGTACACAGAGATGTCTCTACTCTCTCAAAGAAGATGTTTCTCAGCAGATACCACAGATGATGTCCTGGTCACTGCTGCAAGGACAGGGTGTTGCATCCAGTAAGTCTCCAAGGGTTAAATAGGTCATGAACAAACCTCCCTGCCAAACACCAGCCTGGCTCCTTGGGCCCTCACCTGGGGGACCAGCAAAAGAGCTGACAGTGCAATGCCCATGTCAGTTTACTTAAGCAGAAATAATATAGCTAATATTTATTAAGTATCGATTAGATGCCAGATTCTAAATGTTTTAACTAAGGAGGCACAAGTGAGTAAGTGTGTGCCAAAGGTGACACATTAGCAGGTGTGACTGACCACGAATTTGAACCCCTGCTTTTCTACTACTATGTCCCTTGATACTTTGCTCTTCTCTAAGACTTACTAGAAAAGTCTATTCCTGTGGGTTTGACTGGGTACCCATGGACTTCTTGGACACCAAAAAATCTGCCTTCACAGGTTTTTGAGAGTGGCTTTCCAGGTCACCAGGCCGAGCATGGGGTGGGGCCAGAGGGTGACTAATAACAACAGCCCTGTCATCAGAGCCACTGGAGCCCTGGGTGGCCCCTTACTCCTACTCTGCTTAGCCTGGGCCCCTTTCCCAATGGAAGGAAAGAGGTTCTACATCACTGCTCCCTGCTACCCACTGAGGAGCAAAGCCTATAACTACTTTCCCTGTGTCACTTGACATCCATGTCTTCTGCAACACAGAGGAAGTAATGTGTCGAACAAACTCAACTGGCTTAGTGTACTAAGTTTTCTTCGTTACTTAGTGCTTATATGTCCTTCTTTCCCACGCATAAAACTTGTTTGGACATTTTTAATAGAACAAAAAAATGAGAGAATATCAATGTATGTGAAATGTAAGCATTCTTTCCAAACTTTCAACCACAATGCGCCTGTTAGCAAATGAGCTGCATTGTTCTGCTAAATGAGCACTCACACTGTGTGGTCCTCACCATTTAGGTCTCAGAGGAGGCTGAGACCTAATGCATAGGTCAAGTTTAGCAACTACGAATATGGAATGTTTCCCAACAATTCCAGTAGGGTTGATACTTCTCGGTTGGCCATTCTCAAGCAGCTGGAGCGGGGAGGCGGTAAGTAAGGAACACCCCATCCTTGGGCACTTTCCTTTCATTTTTTTATGTCCAGCCATTCTGTAGCCTCTCACTTTCCAGAGGGACCAGAGGAGAAATCCAAAGCAGAGATCCACAGAGCAGCTCTGCAACAGGTTTGCAGCAGTTCAAGCCCTGAAGAGCTGGAAATAGCCAACAGAGCTCGCAAGAACACATCCTCCATGTTTCCTGAAGTAGCTCTAGAATCTGGGAGGGACTTGAGGCTGAACCCAGAGCAGGCAAATATTAACAAGTGGCATGCTCTAGTCAACTCTGGTCCTACACTGACAACTTTGAGCGCTATGGCTAACCACTGTGTCTAGAACCCAGAGAGTTCATGTGAATTTGCAGTTTTGCTCTTACGAGCATCAAGCAATATCCTCCTCCGAGTACTTGTGTATTTGTGAAAGAATTAAATTAGATGCTAGTGAAGAATGACGTAAGACGGCCAAACTCCATTTCCGATGGGCTTTAGAAATTGCCCAACTCCACGTCATTCCTTCCGGCCACTGTAGCTATCTTCTTTTATGCCCAAATGGCATGCAAAAGGCCCACATAATTTTCCCCATCTGTGACATATAATGCTTTACTTGGGAGTCAAGCTGACCAGAAAGCATTACACAAAAGATTATGACTTCAAAAGAAGAATCAACTCGAGAGAGATGGGCCTTTAAGGAATTAAAAATCACATTTCCATACACAAACATCTGTCAGAGAAAAAGAAAAATAGCAAAAGGAAAGGCTCCCCAGTGCTGCAGCCCACATGGGCAGAGCTCCCTCTGGATACACGTTTTCCAAACCCTTCCAGGAAGCGCTGAGCGTGTTCTGCAGCTGGAAGACCATCTAACTTTCTTCTTCGTGTAGCCTCATTTCCGTGCTTAGGAAAGTGTTTCTGGTATGAGAAAACGTGTGGCTTCAGGCCACAAAGCTTCCACTTTGCCGGTGAGATGCTAGAGTCTTCAGAACAGCCAGAAAGTATACAAGGGCCCCCACAGTTGTCGGAGTGCCACGAACCACTTTCATTGAATCTGTTTTCAACCCCTCAGTCCAGTGCTGACAACGTCTGAGCAGGCAGCGTCCAATGCCATCAGGGACTCCTAAGTGTTCCCGCTTAAGCCAAAAACTTCTTGTTCTATTTCCAGAATCCTGAGGAGTCTCTGTTGGCTGTGAAAAGGTTTGAGCTCTTCCAGGTGGAATATTCCATTAGAGCAGAAATATTCTCTTAAGGACATAAAAACAAGCAACCAACTTCAAAAGTTAGAGCAAAGAAAATCACTTTCACAACAATGATGGCTGAGTATAGTGATGCATAAACACAGCCTAGGTGTGTCCACGGCCCAGGAGTCCACATTAGGTACTAGGTACACATGTAAAAACGCACTCTCAAATTCTGTAGTTCATTTCCCTATGTGCCCTGGAAGCAGGAAAAACACACTTAAAAATACTGGTGGTGTGGGTTGAATTGTGCTCCCCAAGAAGATACGTTGAAGTCCTAACCCCCCAGAACCTGTGAATGTGGCCTTATTTAGAAATCCGGTCTTCGCATATGTAACCAAGTTAGGATGAGGTCATACTGGATTAGCGTGGGCCTTAGAGCCAATGACTGGATTTAATAAGGAGAGAGATTTAGAGATACCCATACACGCACAGAGGGAAGAAGGCCATGTAATGGTGGAAGCGGACGTTGGTGTGATTTGAACAAAAGGACGCCGAGGATCGCTGGCAGCCACCAGAAGCTGGAAGAAGCCAGGAAGGGTCCTTTCCTAACTTCAGAGGGCACGTGGCCCTGCAGGCACCTTGATTTGACCTCTGGCCTCTAAAACTGAAATATATATTTTTGTTGTTTTAAGTCATTAGTTTATGGTACTTTATAGGGCAACCCTGGGAAACTTACATAGCTGGCATTCGGTCACTTTCTTCCTAGTTGTTCTGTGGCACACATCACCTGCTCAGGAAGTCCTCTGTGCCTCATGCTGTTTGCTGATGCACAAAGTGCACAGAGACAATAATATTC